TTTTTTTTTTAATTTGGCGTTGTTTAGTCTCAAGAATTTTCATTAGTATCGGCATTCACCCATTTCCGCAGTTTTTAGATAAGTAGAATTTTGTTTCACAGTATTCAGCCTTGAGCAGTTTCCACAGTATTTAAGCTCACACAGCTTCCACAGTATTCAGATGATTCATATAATTTCCATACCATTTAAACTACCAGAATGTTAACTACTCAACTTTCAATACATTTACACTCCTCAATTTCCTTTTTTTATATATATATATCCGCGCAATTTCCACATTTAGAATCCCTCGATTTTTGCTGCGCTTAGTCTGAAGCAATTTCAAAGTTATTCTTCACACAATTTTGTTTTGTTGAGATTCGTGCGATTTTCTGAGTGTTTTAATTCGCTCGATGCTTTTTAGAAATTTCGTGCAAGTTTCACAGAATTTGTGTTCGAGTAACTTTGACAGGTTTTAGACCTACAAAAAATGTTGATGTTTCGACGCGCTATAATTTCATACATGTAGCATATAGACTTGAGAAGTATCCGGCGCAGTAACTAGAGTAACACAATTTTAAGTTTAACTGTCGCGATCTGACACAACAGTAAGACTCATCCAATTGACAAAGGTCTTAAACTAACTCAATCTGTTTTTCGAAACATTTTCATGGTATTAATTCTAACACATTTCTCACAGTATTTTCACATTTCTCCACTATATTTTCACTGTTTAGACTCGAGTGATTTAAGCAGAATTTAGACTCGCGAAATTTCCGCAATGTTCAGACACAATTTCGTAAGTACTTTTACGTTCCTGCAATTTCTATTATGATTAAACTCATTACAGTATTTCGAGATCCGAAAACGTTAAGACGAACACAATTTCCAATGTTAAGGCTCGCGCAAATTAAGTATACAGCCTTGTGAAGCCTATCCGCAGTAACCAGAGCGAGACTGTCTGACTCGGGCAAGGCTCACAACATTAAGACGCATGCAAATCTGTTTTTCGGAACATTTCCATGGTATTAACTCTAACACATTTCTCACAGTATTCTCTCATTTTCTTTGATGTTTTCTCTGTTCAGAGTCGGATGATTTAAATAGTATTTAGACTCGCGAACTTTCCGCAATATTTATAGACGCCCACAATTTCATAAGATTTTAAGCTCACAATTTTTTTTTACATATTTAGGCTCCCGTAATTTCCAATATGTTTACACTCACGCAATTTTTTAGCATTTTTAGACCCGAAAGCGTTAAGACAAAAGAAATTTTCAATGTTAAGGCTCGTGCAACTTTTTATACTTCTATAATTTGTCCAATATTTATCACACAATTTTTTTCTAGGATTTATGTTCGTGCAATCTTTCCACAGTCAGTTTTCTCATTTTCACAGTACGGTAGAACACCCACTTAGTCAATGTATACTAAAATGCTTTATTTCTATCTAATAATCGATTTGGACAATGGACTTTTCGCTTACCAGAGCCTTGCTCGTCGTTTTCCAGAATTTCACGCTCCTGTCTGACCTCTGGAAAGAAACAACAAAGTTAGAGATTCAGGTCTGTAAAAAAAGTCGTCAATACGGCGCTAAATGCGTAGCGCGCAAAAGATCATTATATTTTCTCAGAATCAATACCAGTAATTTAAATTAGCAACCATAAATTCACATGATTCAAGAACAGAAACTATTGAGCCACTAAAGCCTTAGAAACAACTAATAAAAATGATACTCTGGTGCTTGAATCCACGTACAACAATTTGTTTTGAAGCAGTGTTTTGCTGCTGTTCTTTTCCCGGTATGGTGAGGATGTGGGAACATTTTGAAATGTGTGGCCTCCAAAACTGCGTCGCCTCCAAAACGCCGCTTAAGTTATTAGATTGGTTAAAAAAACTAATTTAACTGTTAGGGACAAAAATTTGTTTTTGCTGTTCTAACGGTGAAATTTTCATACAATGAACATCGATCTGGCAGTCTGAAATACGAACTAAGAAGTCCACTAACACTGCAGTTACCTGATATACCTGCAGCTAAAGAACCGAGGAAGACAAGAAGAAATATAATATTCCTCATCTTGGCCGCAATCAACAGACTAGGTAAGCCGTCCGTGAGTTTTCCAAGTTCAATAAAGTGCTGCAGCTTGGCAAGTAGGGTGTTTAGGAACAAGGAACACTTCAGTAGTTTCCACTAATTTATGTGTCAAGCAGAACGAGTTAGAACGAGAAACGAAACCAGGAAGAATAGACGTGTACTGCTTATGAACAATTGATAACGAATTGAAAAGGATTCGTTTATTCTCTGGGTCAAGCTTTTTGTAACTTCGACTAAACCTTTCGGTCGATGGTTTCTCGGCTATAACGAAATACAGCGCCCCCACTTGATCAAGTCGTTATAGATTTCAAATCAGCGAAAATATTGGCCGCAATTACTGTTCATTCGCTGTTTTGTTTTGTTTTGTTTTTCACACGCTTTTACCATGATCACAATTTTTGTTTTGACTACGAGAACAAAGGCTGTTTCTGCATGGGCTCTGAAAAAGAATAGAAACTGGCGCAGTGATTGACTAGATCAGCATTCAAGAATTTTTATAAGGCTAATTTGTTTTCGATCTCTCGCTCTCAGTACACATTGTAGTTTGAGTTTGAACTGTGTAGCGCAGTTTTCACAGAGGCCAAGTGTAGCAATGTAGAGGAAAATGATGAAACTATAGTTCCCTCTGCTTTATAAGAAATACTGTATTTTCTCCATTAAACACAGAAGGCGTTTATCTAAACCACTATTACACTGTATTAATGAAAACTTTAACGTAGACACCAAAAAGAAAAAAAGAAAACGGCACTGTCCGTGACTTCCTCTAGGCCAGAGCGGTCACCAAGAGCACACATTGTCCGAAACTCTGCCTTATTTCTGTTCCACTGGATGACAACTTTTTTACTCGGGTAAATGCCAGACCGAATAAACGCCCGACCAGTATGGTCAGTTGAGTTTTAATTAACACACCCCAGTATTTATTTGAGTTCCTGCTGATGTTCGTTTGAAGTTGGGCATTTATTTGAACTCGACTTTCTGTATAACCGGCCAATTTCCATAAATCACTGAAATAAATCAAGAAGGACCCTGAGCATAAATGTGCTTATGCGTGTGATATCTAAAGATAGCACCTATCGACCCTATCGTCCGTTACACTTCAATGGATATATTAATCGTAGCAGTGGCATAACGGAAGGGCTGAAAATCGCGATTAACATGCAAAAAATTTCTATACAATTTCCCTTTGGCTGCCTCCTTTTGTAATCTGCGATATAAAATAAAGATTGGTCTGCCCAACTCACGAAGCAGGAAAAATATTATTAATCGAATATAGTATACTCCTGGGTGCCTTTCTTGTCGCAGTAAATGAATGCAAACCAAACAAGGTTATTCATTGCGATGTCGAAATAGACCGGCACACAATTCAGTGAATATCAACAAGAAAACGCTGAGCTCTATCACACTTCTTGTCGTTCAGATTTTAAAATAGATTTCACACGTTTTATACTCCATTTTATGCCCGAAGTAACTCATTAGCGATCAAATGAAGGTGTTTTAAACATACTTGTTCGTGTCAGTTATCGCCAGTACGATACGATACGATACTTTATTTAACGTGGATTTACGCCTGGCTAATCAGCTAGTTTACAGGTAACCCACGTTCCTAGTATATTCTAAAAACTAAAACTAAAAATGTACAATAATTGATCGTATAAAACTATAAACACAGAGAACTAAAAATCTAGAGGATCAAATCACAATAAATTCCGATATCAGTCAAACTTAGCGATCGAAATTTATTGTTCACTTCATTAGTGCCTACTTTAGTCCTAATGTCATCTGTTAGCTCGGTCCATTCTTTGCGGTGTTAATTTTCGACAAAGAAAGGATATACAGTCATGTATAAATATAGTCCTCTGTGACCTTATGATCCACTCACGAAGGAGCGAAGAGGGTGATTATACAACGTATAATGACCCTCTATAGTAAAACAATCAACAGCGATACAGTTTCGAGTTGCGGAAGAAAAACCTAAACGGAAGGATACATGTATAAAGTGATAACCAGTGTTCAGCGTGTCTATCTCGTTTCAGTACTAGCTGTAAGGTCGGTAAGCAACTCCGCTGGGCAACAACCGAATGATCCAGATACTGAACTGGTGTCAGCATTTCGTGCAAGCTATTTATTTAAAGTAGCTGAGAGCGGGAAGACAAGCAAATAATGAAAACAGCAAGGAACTGAAATGCCTTATCTTGATCATAATTAAAAGAAGATTTAATAAGCCATCGAAGATCACGAAAAAAGCGATGATCAACTCTGAATAGACACGTGGACACTGTCGATTGCGAACGGTTGGCAATCGAAACTGGTGTGTCTATACAAGAGAAAAGAAAGCGGAAGCAAAACAAATCAATTTTCTCGTCAATATGGACAGTATAATGAAATCGAGCTCGAAACGATAAACTATAAACTGTATTTATGGTAAGGGTCCACCCGCGATGGAGGAGGTTGTGGTTGATTTTAAAATTCTTAACCGACTCGGGTAATAAGCATTTCTAGCACTGAATCGTGGTTACATTCGTCTCGGATGCGTCACCGAAATCAATTTACAGTGAAGGCCTGGGAGAAAGCCGTTCAAAGATGCTTCCAAGAGGGGGACAATGGGAAGTAAAAGTCCCCCATATCTCACTTTTCCCTTACCAGTGTTCCCCGCCCGTTTTGCCACTTTCAGGTAGACATTTCGTGTAGCTTTTATAAAGATACATTCTTTCAAAGTGTCAGCGGTTAGAAACATGGCGCCTCTGTGAAACTGTCTCCCTCTGTGATCTTCTGGAACCTATTTTATGTCAATGTACAATACAGACGATTCTAGCTTGGTTTATACTTCATTTAAGTCTCCATATGTTACTAAAGGAACCACTGGGATCTGTTTATAAATCACGAAACTGAATCTTGTCATGCTAAGTAACATTCGACAGAAAAAGGTAAGTCTAGCGAGTACGTGCTTTGCTCGGCTATTGTGGGTACATGTAGTCTAACCCTTGCAGAAGCAAATACTACTCAGTCGAATGACTGGGTTCTGTTATACAACACAGTTACAACAATAAATGTCAGTGTTCAACTGATTTTAACCGAATCAAATGGAATATTGCAGAATATGGATCGATTAATAATTAGCCTGGATGTAGATCTAAGCTAAGAGCTTTTAATTCATTACATGTAGTTGCCAGATCATTTCAGTAGACTCAGTGGAAATAAATTTGAATAATGTTTTCTTGTACTTGCTGGAAAATAACAATAAAACGTACACCTGTTTCATCGACAGAAGAAACACTAGGTGTATAACTGAACTATGAAGAAAGAATGATATAAAGACATAAACATATGAAGAAGCTAGTCATAAAAGGGGATAAGTGACGATTTTGGTTGCTTTTCTTTTTTCTTGCTCCAAATTAGCTGAA